TTCGCCCCAGTCTGAGGTCCTGAGCCTCTGGAGCAGGTTTTCATCAAGGATCTCTCTGTACTTTGCTCCGTACATCTTTCCCTTGATCCTGACTAGTCTCCCAGTCCCTGCCGCTGAAAAACATCCCCACAGCATGATGCTGCCACCACCATGCTTCACCGTAGGGATGGTGCCAGGTTTCCTCCAGACGTGACGCTTGTCATTCAGGCCAAAGAGTTCAATCTTGGTTTCATCAGACCAGAGAATCATCTTGTTGCTCATGGACTGAGAGTCCTTTAGGTGCCTTTTGGCAAACTCCAAGCGGGCTGTCATGTGCCTTTTACTGAGGAGTGGCTTCCGTCTGGCTACTCTACCATAAAGGCCTGATTGGTGGAGTGCTGCAGAGATGGTTGTCCTTCTGGAAGGTTCTCCCATCTCCACAGAGGAACTCTGGAGCTCTGTCAGAGTGACCATCGGGTTCTTGGTCACCTCCCTGACCAAGGCCCTTCTCCCCTGATTGCTCAGTTTGGCGGCCAGCTCTAGGAAGAGTCTTGGTGGTTCCAAACTTCTTCCATTTAAGAATGATGGAGGCCACTGTGTTCTTGGGGATATTCAATGCTGGAGACATTTTTTAGTGCCCTTCCCCGGAATCTGTGCCTCAACACAATCCTGTCTCTGAGCTCTATGGACAATTCCTTCGACCTCATGGCTTGGTTTTTGCTCTGACATGCACTGTCAACTGTGGCACCTTATATAGACAGGTGTGTGCCTTTCCAAATCATGTCCAATCAATTGAATTTACCACAGGTGGACTCCAATCAAGTTGTAGAAACATGTCAAGCATTATCAATGGAAACAGGATGCACCTGAGCTTAATTTCGAGTTTCATAGCAAAGGGTCTGAATACTTATGTAAATAAGGTATTTATGTTTTTTATTTTAATAAATTAGCAAAAATTTAGAAAAATATGTTTTCGCTTTGTCATTATGGGGTATTATGTGTAGATTGATGAGAACATATTTTTATCTAATCCATCTTAGGATAAGGCTGTAATGTAACAAAATGTGGGAAAAGGGAAGGGGTCTGAATACTTTCCGAATGCACTGTACTTTCCAAGTGACAGTATTTCCTCTATAAACATTTTAATGACATCACAAAATAACTAGCAACTGTTTATCTATAGACCTCCTCTGACCATTCCCCACGTTCTTACGTTAGAAATATTGTTCCAGTATTCACTTTTTGAACATGTTAAGAGTTTCTGTGGGAAAAGTCTGTGGAGACAAAGAACATTCCTTTGTAAATTTGGAGTGGGTGAGAGAGTCTTCTTCTTTAATTTACGACAGTGCGTGAGGTGTCAAAACCCCACAGCTCCCTCCTCCCCCCCTGCGGGTGGGAGGGGGTCTGGTTGAAGCTCTCACTGCAAACCTGATCTGACCCATTTGGATCCTCCCAGGACAGTCATGACAGTCCCCCTCTGGTCAGTTCAACCTTGGAAGGATTCTGCAAGTTGCAACCCACCACAAAAAATGACCACGGGATGTCCTGGTTTGTGGATCATCGTAGCAGTCCCCCTCTGGTGGTTTAACCTGGTAGGATTTCTGCAAGCTGCAGACCACCACAAGAATGGCCAGGGGATGACCTGGTTGTGGATCGTCGTTCCGGACCCGTCATCCGGTTGTCCAGGCTGGGGGATCTAGGCGGTAACTTAGGCAGACTTTGACAACGCACAACACTCAGGCAACACATCATTACATTTCTTCCCCAAATGAGCGGTATTGTGGCACTAACTGGTGGTTGTATGGGGAACTTGTTTGTGGCAATATCACTTCCTAAGTGTCAAATATTTTTTTTAAATTAAAATAATAAAAACACAAACAAAAGATATACAAAATATAGTTACCACACCTTAATAATCTAATTGGACTCTATTCTATATACGTCCACGGTCTTGGCTAAATGACTCTATCTTGGCATTTGGTCTAATGTCATATCTAGGGCAATCCTACTTAGCGGTGTGTTGCTTAGGGCACTATCCTAAGTTGATAACTACATGATAAGGCTACAGGTGTAAGGCACTAGCTTCGGACAGTTTACAGGGATCACCTATGGACCTCTGGGGAGAAACTGGTGATTAATGTAGCTGTGGAGTCAAAGGGGCTTCAGAGTCTATTTCAACTTTACCAAGACTGGTATTTTTCTCGGACCTGTTAGAAATTACGTAATTCAAATCTGGTATTGGAATAAGAATCAAGAGATCTTCAATCCAAGCTAAATTTATTATATGCAAAATGTATGTATGATAAGTATGAAGGTTCGTATATATACGGGTCCACTGAAATACCACGCAGGGCACTCAGAGAACTAATCCATTGTTACAGGTTCTTCTTCAAATACTCTGACAGAGATATTTCCCACTCCCTGCTGGCCAATCAGAGTAGAGACTGAGCGTGGTTTAGACTTACTCAGCCTATCCGTTGGCGCACCGGCTGGTCCCAGACTCTTGGCGCTCCACCTGTTGCCAGGCATCTAGTTGTTTTGCAACTTATCCAGAAAGTCAGCACTTTTTTGCAGTACCCATGTCCTTGGACGGTTCACAGATCACAAAGAAGCAGTGTTCGTATCTGTGAGAAATACAAGTCTTATCTATAAGAAATACAAGTTTTATCTCATCCTAGCCCCTAACGTTCCTCACATGAATCACAGCCTGTTATGTGAAACAATTTATATCAGTACAGTATAAACCTATGCTTATCATTAATGCATTCCTTCTAAGCTATTCATCACATACAGATCAAATTATGAGAAAATAGAACCCCACAGACCCTTAAGTGATCCTAGTATAAATCCTCCTTAAATGTTCTGTTGTGCATGTGCGTTTATGCTTGCACAAGCACACATGCCAAGGGCAAGAAACCAAGTATCCTGGTAGGCTGCAACCTGGGCAGAGTGAGTCTAACGTCATCAGATAGTTTCCATGTCAATGACCGTGTGTCAGTAGGAATCGGTGCCGACCTCAAGCCATATGCCAAGGGGACCTGTAGTGGTTTTAATACAAGTCAATGTGTCCTACACCATTGTAGTGGCGATAGGTATGAAGAAGTCTATTTCCTAGCTATGTTATCCACGGAGGAGCTAACCTCACGACGGAAGTACTCTATAAGCACTGAACCAGTCGTACGCAGTGTGATCATGGTTCATGACCTCTAATAACTTTCCTCCTGAATGGAGGGTTCTATTTATTAGCGCCATGTCAAAACCCCACAGTTCCCTCCTTCCCCCCTCTGCGTGTGGGAGGGGGTCTGGTTGAAGCTCTCCATGCAAACCTTTTCTGACCCATTTGGATCCTCCCAGGACGGTCATGACAGTAATTAGAACAGTAAAATGTAATGTTTTGTCATACCGGTGGTATATGGTCTGATATACCACGGCTTTCAGCCAATCAGCATTCAAGGCTCGAACCAGGTTTATAATTGTAAATAAATCCCCTTTGCACATGTGCATAACTATAGTAAATTCGACAGGAGAGTTTGAGTGATGAAGGTTGGATGGAGGATCTCAATCTCTGAGCAAGAAACACTTGGAAGAACAAAAACAACAAATTATAGGCTATTTTCTGGCAATTGTGCTGTTATTATGTGGCAGATGTTAAATCTACAAACCGTTATAAATGGCCCATTTGCGAGATTGACTTCTCATTTCAATAGGCATAGGCTACAGACTAAAATCTGGGTTTATGATTGTAATTCAATTTTGCCATGGTTTGCTTAGCTAAAGGCAGGTAGCCTATAGCCCCTGATAGGCCTACATCTCATTTCAGATAGTCTACAGTAGCCTAGTCAAGATGTAGCCAAGATGTAAACTGAACGATTTAGCAGCTCTTAGTTCAAATTAACAGACTAATTCATTCAACATGAATAGCGAGGCGATTTCGAGGTAAGAAGTACTTGTGTTTCCCAATAACCTGCTGAAATAGGCTACTGAGGATGGGGCCATAATTTCAATCACTGAATTAAATATTAATAATATGTATATGAACTGAATACGCTTGTCAACAACAGCCAGTGTTTATTTTTTAGAATTTGTTTTAACTATAGCCTAATCTGACTACTGTTACCATCATTCTAATGCGTTCTAACAACTGCTCGTCAATTGCGATAGAGCTTTGATAATTTCAAATTGTATTAACTAAAAATGTCCATTAGTAATTGCAAAATAACACAAGTCTACAACAACAATAAACTGAAGTTATAGGCTATTTATTAAATTGGTTTGCCAGCTCCAGGTAGGCTACACAAGTGGCACAAATTGATTTGCAATAACTCCAGTGATATCTTCATTTCAACATATTTATCGTATCAAATGGTAGCCTACAATGGCATATACATTAATAGGCATTAATATGCTACTTGGTGGCCACTCCGGCAGCCCCCGAGACCCAAGAACTGAGCATGCATAAAGCACTTCGCTTGATACCGTTTTCTTTAAGCAAAGTCAACATTAGAATGCAGTTTAAACCAACTCTGAGCGAATTTATGTAATGCGCTCTAGCGAGCCCAAAGTCGTTTTCCAGTGCTTTGTCTCCATTATTTATTGATGTGCATATTCATATGTTTTACTGAAAAAGTGTTTGAAACAGGTGTCTCCATAATGACAATCTAAATAGCCTACCTACAACAAAAGATGTCAAGACGTGCGCGCGTGCTGCTCGCTCTCCCTCTCGCTCACCTGACTCAGCCAATATCTGTAGTGCTCTCTCAACGCACGCACACACACAGACATACACACACACTTCCGGCCCTCCCACTCACTCAGCAACAACCTGCATCACTGCCTGACACTCAGCAGCAGGTCACATTGAAATATATATATTTTTAAGAGATATGGCATGGCGGCAGCGGTGCAACTTACAAATAGCACAAAAACCTGCAACCCGCGATCAATACATTTTCACCCGCGACATCGTTTTCAAAGTAGACCAATTTGGTTGGAAAACAGCGGACATTGCAACACTGTTTAGAGGGAAAATTGGTCACCACCCACTTGTAGAAAGGCAGACCAACAGACAGCTCACTATCTCTCGCGATATTTGGCTGGGCAGAAAAGTCTAAACGGGTGCCTTGGATGTCCCAACTCTGATGTCACCTCATTGAACAGTCATTGGGCTGCAGCAGAATTCAAATCGTCTTGTGTGCGCGGTCTATAAAACAACAAAGATTTTAGGTGTGGTGGTTCGGTTCCCTTTTTGACTGCTTGTTGGCAAGGTATGCTTACTAGCTAGCTAAACATGAAAAGTAATTTTACAATAGCTTGCCAGTTATCCTCTTATGGTCACATTTCCGAGGGTAACTGTCTTTGTGCAATCAACAGTTAGCTTGCAACTTACGTTATCTAGCTAGCTAGCTAGTACTATGTCGTGCAAGTTTAGTTAACGTACTTTAGCTAGCTAGCTACAGTAGCTAACTCATATCAGGAGGAAAAAGCTTGCTAATGTTAGTGTTGTTTATCAGTGGTATGCAGTATTGTTCACTAGCAAAAGCAAGCATACAACGTTGCGTGTATACAATCGTTTCATCCCGTTTCGTTGTGGAACAGTAGTTAGTTACATTCTTTATCCATTGTTTTCAACTAGGTTTAGCTCAGGGTTTATTCCATCATTAGGCCAATATCTATATTTGTCAACATTATTTGTTGTGTTCATTTAATCAGATATGATAATCACAGAATAGCCCACATTCTTTACATAATTGAACAACTATCCCACCTTACCCCATATGAACCATCGCTGAAGTTAAATGGGTGTCCCACAATTTCAATAAGTGCTGCTGTTAAGTTTCTCTCTTTTTACATCACCTCAATTGTGAAAGATGTCTACTTCAGGAGAAGATGAGATCCAGCGACTACAACGCAAGTTGAAAGAAGCAGACGATGCGCTGCAGAAGGCAGGCCAATATGGCCTTCAGCTGCTGGATGGGCAGCTGGATCTGCAGAACAAACTGGAGGAGCAGCGGATAGAGATGACCAACGCTGTGGAGGTGATCGTTCACACTGGCCAATGACTGACATCTCTAAAGACTGCTGTCTTCTTGACAGTTGATGAATAGGCTATGACAGTAGCAGTATAACGCATTACAAAATAAGACAACTGCTGTCCATAACAACTATTAATCATCCTTATATTTCATGTCATGAATCTTGTTACAACTGATATTACAGTAATGTTGAACAGTGTTTGGATGGGAACACAGATGGAGTGGGTTGTTGTTGGAGTTATGAATCTCCTGTGTGTCTATTCTCAGGCCCTGGAGCAGGATAAATACTCCCTGCAGCGGGAAGTGGAGCTGAAAAGCCGTGTGCTGGACAGCCTGCGCTCCGACTACGACTCGGTCAAGAGCCAACAGAGGCTGCAGTGGGAGCAACAGGAATCCCAGCTGGAGAGGAACCACGCTATGGAGCTCAATGAGTGCAAGAAAAAGGTTGGGGAGCCATTGATGTGGTTTGGGTTACCTGTACACCATTGGCTGTATTTGGGGGAATGCTGAATCTATACTTTTTTTGTGTGGAATTATACACACTGAAATCATCTCTACTAATGACATACTTAATCAGGAGTTGTTGCCTTTGAGGCAATACTTATTTCTTGACAATACTTTGTGTGCCCAGTCAGTGTAGTGAATGTGATGTCTGTGTTTGGCCGTAGATGGAGAGAATGAGAGCTGAACTGGATGAGGCGCAGCTCAGTGAGAAGCAGCTGAAGCATAAACTGGAGCTTCAGACAGTGACCCTGAGCAACAAGATGGAGGAGCTGCGATCGGTCACAGAGCAGACTCATGAAACCCTGTCCACCGAGATGATGGAGTTGCAGGTGGAGAGGATGGAGCTGGAGGCTGCTAAGGTGAGTACCCTACCACACTGTCTGTAAAAACTTAATCTCAGGAACCCAGAACTAAAATATTGTGTCAGATGCTCAATTAAGTTCTGGAGGTACACTACCAGTCAAAAGTTTGGACACACCTACTCATTCAAGGGTTTTTCTTTATTTTTTACAATTTTTTTAAATTGGAGAATAATAGTGAAGACATCAAAACTATGAAATAACACATATGGAATCATGTAGTAACCAAAAAAGTTTTAAACTAATCAAAATATATTTTATATTTGAGATTCTTCAAATAGCCGACCTTTGCCTTGATGACAGCTTTGCACACTCTTGGCATTCTCTCAACCAGCTTCATGAGGTATTCACCTGGAATGCATTTAAATTAACAGATGTGCCTTCTTAAAAGTTAATTTGTAGAATTTCTTTACCACTTAATGCGTTTGAGCCAATCAGTTGTGTTGTGACAAGGTAGGGGGTGTATACAGAAGATGGACATATTTGGTAAAAGACCAAGTCCATATTATGGCAAGAACATCTCAAATAAGCAAAGAGAAACGACAGTCCATTATTACTTTAAGACATGAAGCTCAGTCAATCCGGAACATTTCAAGAACTTTTAAAGTTTCCTCAAGTGCAGTCGCAAAAACCATCAAGCGCTATTATGAAACGGGCTCTCATGAGGACCGCCACAGGAATGGAAGACCCAGAGTTACCTCTGCTGCAGAGGTTACGTTCATTAGAGTTACTAGCCTCAGAAATTGCAGCCCAAATAAATGCTTCACAGAGTTCAAGTCACAGACATATCTCAACATCAACTGTTCAGAGGGGACTGTGTGAATCAGGCCTTCATGGTCGAATTGCTGCAAAGAAGCCACTACTAAAGGACACCAATAAGAAGAAGAGACCTGCTTGGGCCAAGAAACACGAGCAATGAACATTAGACCGGTGGAAATTTGTCCTTTGGTCTGGAGTCCAAATTTGAGATTTTTGGTTCCAACCGCCGTGTCTTTGTGAGATGCTGTGTGGGTGAACGGATGATCGCCGCATGTTTATTTCCCACCGTAAAGCATGGAGGAGGCGTTGTTATGGCGTGGGGGTGCTTTGCTGGTGACACTGTCTGATTTATTTCGAGTTCAAGGCACACTTAACCAGCATGGCTCCCACAGCATTCTGCAGCGATACGCCAGCCCATCTGGTTTGGGCTTAGTGGGACTATCATTTGTTTTTCAACACGACAATGACCCAACACACCTCCAGGCTGTATAAGGGCTATTTGACCAAGAAGGAGAGTAATGGAGTGCTGCATTAGATGACCTGGCCTGGTTTGGGATGAGTCGGACAGCATAGTGAAGGAAAAGCAGCCAACAAGTGCTCAGCGTATGTGGGAACTCCTTCAAGACTGTTGGAAAAGCATTCCAGGTGAAGCTGGTTGAGAGAATGCCAAGAGTGTGCAAAGCTGTCATCAAGGCAAAGGGTGGCTATTTGAAGAATCGCAAATATAACATATATTTTGATTTGTTTAACACTTTTTTTGGTTACTACATGATTCCATTTGTGTTATTTAATAGTTTTGATGTCTTCACTATTATTCTACAATGTAGAAAATTAGTAAAAATATAGAAAAACCTTTGAATGAGTAGGTGTGTCCAAACTTTTGACTGGTACTGTAGATGTATGAGAAGATACTACCGAGACTAGCAAAGTCTCCATCCCCCTAAACGGAAGTTTTGGGTAAGTCTATTGGCCAAATGTCCCCTCTCTTCCGAAATTTCAAAGATGCAAACTTCTGCGAAATTGTGATTTTGGCAAATGATCATTAACGAAACAATCTCTCAAGCACAAGCCCACTTGCTAATGAGTAGCCAGCTAATCTCTATAGGAGTCTTTATATTTCAAGTTTAGCCAACTTGGATCTATTTGCCAATCAACAAGGCAGGGCAGTTGAATTGTTATGAACACTGAATCAATGTTCATTGATACTCCCGTTTTAGTAGTGTCTGCTCTGTGCGCAACTTGAGCAGTTGAGAAATAAAAAGGGTATCAATAGGAAGGATAACTTCTCCTCTATTACAGTGAAATAATCTCAATGTGTTTCAGTGTCCATATGACCGATTCTGTTTGACCAAAGCTTAAATGCAAATAGCAAGTTGAAACCACTTGTCAGAGAGGAAGAAGTGATCTCATCTTTGTGTGAGTGGCAGGGGAGGGGCTTTGAGTGTGTGTGTGTAAACCGAGAGGAAGAGGCAAAGCGAGAGGTTTCACTCTCACCAAAATTATCCCAATGCATTTCTATGGGCTTATTGTGGACCTAAGTTTGTCGCCAGCCTTCCCCACTTTGGGACAACGATTCCCATTGTTATGGCGGAGCCATGAGCATCTCATCATGATATACAGATCTCTGGTGTACATGGGAACACAACACAGAAGGAGCGAAGGAGATGAGACCAAAAAGACAACGAGAACAAGTAGACATAAACGCTCATATTTTATATAAAAAAAATTAAACACTTGATTCTTGCGATACAGGCATTTGGAATATTGCGCAAAAACATCAATCCTAATTAGTTCTATATAATGCCCAGCCCTACTACGATTCCATCCGATGTTACATGCATCTGTACGAGAGATTAGTAAAGGCCCATAAAGACTCGGGATAACCATAAAAATGCTTTGTTTACTTTTAACTGATTGTAAATATCAGTTAATTGCATGTGGTACAGTATAGGCAGCCATTTTAATGTTTCTCCACTCAGGCCACCTTGGAGCTGGCACTTCAGGAGGCCCAGTACAAAGAGCAGCAGCTGGAGCTGACCAACACAAACCTTCAACGTCAACTGGAGCGAATCAGTGAGGAGAAAGAAGAGCGTGAGAGAGAAGCGGTCTCCTGCTTCAACGCCTTGGAGGTAAAGATCATAATCTTCAGCAGTTTAGGATTGTGTGTATCATGAATACATTGCACTACATTCGTAGTCATTCATGCGAATGAAACTAATGTCTTTCCTTTTTGCCTGCTTTAGAAAGCCAGAGAGGCCAACCAAGATCTCCAGATTCAGCTGGATCAGTTATTGCAACAGGCACAAGATCCCAACAGCAAGGGAAATTCTTTATTTGGAGAGGTAGGTACTACATTGCCATCTGTCTCCGTAGCATCTTTGAATGTATTTCAAGTTTCAAAGTTTTCGCCACGTGCACAGGATACAACGGGTGTAAAACAGTACAGTGAAATTCTTACCTTGAAAACTCTTTCCCAACAATACAGTAATAATAATATAGATCATAATAAAAAATTAAGTAAAAAATAAAATTACGAATAAAAACCTCACAAGGACTACGGTGAGAGTTAAAGAAAATGAGAATGCAAGTATATATACAGTAGGTCAGTGTCAGTACCTTTTTAATGTGCTGGAGAGGTTGAGGTGGGTTTATACATAAAAAGTGACTGGTAGTAGGATTTACATGTAAACGATTTGTAACTCGCTTTGGATAAGAGCGTCTGCTAAATGACTTAAATGTAAACAGGGATGGAAAAGTGACTGGTTGCAGGAATATATAAATAATTATGGTTACAGTATATACTAGTGGTAATATATATATATATATATATATATATATATATATATATATATATATATATACACACACACACACAGTGGGGAGAACAAGTATTTGATACACTGCCAATTTCGCAGGTTTTCCTACTTACAAAGCATGTAAAGGTCTGTAATTGTTATCATAGGTACACTTCAACTGTGAGAGACGGAATCTAAAACAAAAATCCAGAAAATCACATTGTATGATTTTTAAGTAATTAATTTGCATTTTATTGCATGACATAAGTATTTGATACATCAGAAAAGCAGAACTTAATATTTGGTACAGAAACCTTTGTTTGCAATTACAGAGATCATACGTTTCCTGTAGGTCTTGTCCAGGTTTGCACACACTGCAGCAGGGATTTTGGCCCATTCCTCCATACAGACCTTCTCCAGATCCTTCAGGTTTCGGGGCTGACGCTGGGCAATACGGACTTTCAGCTCCCTCCAAATATTTTCTATTGGGTTCAGGTCTGGAGACTGGCTAGGCCACTCCAGGACCTTGAGATGCTTCTTACGGAGCCACTCCTTAGTTGCCCTGGCTGTGTGTTTCGGGACGTTGTCATGCTAGAAGACCCAGCCACGACCCATCTTCAATGCTCTTACTGAGGGAAGGAGGTTGTTGGCCAAGATCTCGCGATACATGGCCCCATCCATCCTCCCCTCAATACGGTGCAGTCGTCCTGTCCCCTTTTCAGAAAAGCATCCCCAAAGAATGATGTTTCCACCTCCATGCTTCACGGTTGGGATGGTGTTCTTGGGGTTGTACTCATCCTTCTTCCTCCAAACACGGCGAGTGGAGTTTAGACCAAAAAGCTATATTTTTGTCTCATCAGACCACATGACCTTCTCCCATTCCTCCTCTGGATCATCCAGATGGTCATTGGCAAACTTCAGATGGGCCTGGACATGCGCTGGCTTGAGCAGGGGGACCTTGCGTGCGCTGCAGGATTTTAATCCATGACGGCGTAGTGTGTTACTAATGGTTTTCTTTGAGACTGTGGTCCCAGCTCTCTTCAGGTCATTGCTCAGGTCCTGCCGTGTAGTTCTGGGCTGATCCCTCACCTTCCTCATGATCATTGATGCCCCACGAGGTGAGATCTTGCATGGAGCCCCAGTCCGAGGGTGGTTGACCGTCATCTTGAACTTCTTCCATTTTCTAATAATTGCGCCAACAGTTGTTGCCTTCTCACCAAGCTGCTTGCCTATTGTCCTGTAGCCCATCCCAGCCTTGTGCAGGTCTACAATTTTATCCCTGATGTCCTTACACAGCTCTCTGGTCTTGGCCATTGTGGAGAGGTTGGAGTCTGTTTTATTGAGAGTGGACAGGTGTCTTTTATACAGGTAATGAGTTCAAACAGGTGCAGTTAATACAGGTAATGAGTGGAGAACAGGAGGGCTTCTTAAAGAAAAACTAACAGGTCTGTGAGAGCCGGAATTCTTACTGGTTGGTAGGTGATCAAATACTTATGTCATGCAATAAAATGCAAATTAATTACTTAAAAATCATACAATGTGATTTTCTGGATTTTTGTTTTAGATTCCGTCTCTCACAGTTAAAGTGTACCTATGATAAAAATTACAGACCTCTACATGCTTTGTAAGTAGGAAAACCTGCAAAATCGGCAGTGTATCAAATACTTGTTCTCCCCACTGTATATGTGTAAACAGGAATACAATACAGCAGTGAAATGCTTACTTACAAGCCCATAACCAAGTTTTAAGAAAGAACACCAAAAAAAATCACACAAATAAAATAAGAAATAAAAGTAACAAAGAATTATTAAGCAGTAAAAATAACAATAGCCAGGCTATATACAATGTGCGGGGGCACCGGTTAGTCAAGGTAATTTGGGTAATATGTAGGTAGAGTTATTAAAGTGACTATGCATAGATAATAAACAGAGAGTAGCAGCAGCGTAAGGGGGGGGGGGGGGGGGGGGGGACAATGTAAATAGTCTGGGTAGCCATTTGATTAGATGTTCAGGAGTCTTATGGCTTGGGGGTAGAAGCTGTTTAGAAGCCTCTTGGACCTAGACTTGGTGCTCCGGTACCGCTTGCTGTGCCGTAGCAGAGAGAACAGTCTATGACTAGGGTGGCTGGAGTCTTTGACCATTTTTTGGGCCGTACGCACTACCCTCTGTAGTGCCTTGCGGTCGGAGGCCGAGCAGTTGCCATACCAGGCAGTAATGCAACCAGTCAGGATGCTCTCGATGGTGCAGCTGTAGAACCTTTTGAGGATCTGAGGACCCATGCCAAATATTTTCAGTCTCCTTAGGGGGAATAGATTTTGTCGTGCCCTCTTCACGACTGTCTTGGTGTGCTTGGACCATGTAGACACCAAGGAACTTGAAGCTCTCAACCTGCTCCACTACAGCCCCGTCGATGAGAATGGGGTTGTGCTCAGTCCTCTTTTTCCTGTAGTCCACAATCATCTCCTTTGTCTTGATCACGTTGAGGGAGAGGTTGTTGTCCTGGCACCACATGGCCAGGTCTCTGACCACCTCCCTATAGGCTGTCTCGTCGGTGTTCAGGCCTACCACTGTTGTGTCATCGACAAACCTAATGATGGTGTTGGGGTCGTGCCTGGCTATGCAGTCATGAGTGAACAGGGAGTACAGGAGGGGACTGAGCACGCACCCCTGAGGGGCCCCCGTTGAGGATCAGCGTGGCGGATGTGTTGTTACCTACCCTTAACACCTGGGGGCGGCCCGTCAGGAACTCAAGGATCCAGTTGCAGAGGGAGGTGTTTGGTCCCAGGGTCCATAGCTTAGTGATGAGCTTTGAGGGCACTATGGTGTTGAACGCTGAGCTGTAGTCAATTAATAGCATTCTCACATAGGTGTTCCTTTTGTCCAGGTGGGAAAGGGCAGTGTGGAGTGCGATAGAGATTGCATCATCTGTGGATCTGTTGGGGCGGTATGCAAATTGGAGTTATTGATGAAGCCAGTGACTGTTGTGGTGTACTCAATGCCATCGGAAGAATCCCAGAACATATTCCAGTCTGTGCTAGCAAAACAGTCCTGTAGCTTAGCATCTGCTTCATCTGACCACTTTGTTAATTGACAGAGTCACTGGTGCATCCTGCTTTAGTTTTTGCTTGTAAACAGGAATCAGGAGGATAGAATTATGGTCAGATTTGCCAAATGGAGGGCGAGGGAGAGCTTTGTACGCTTCTCTGTGTGTGGAGTAAAGGTGGTCTAGAGTTTTTTTTTTTTTTTTCCTCTGGTTGCACATTTAACATGCTAGTAGAAATGAGGTAAAACAGATTTAAGTTTCCCTGCATTAAAGTCCCTGGCCACGAGGAGCGCCGCCTCAGGATGAGTGTTTTCCTGTTTGCTTATGGCCATATACAGTTCATTGAGTGCAGTCTTAGTGCCAGTATCTGTTTGTGGTGGTAAATAGAAAGCTACGAAGAATATAGATAAACTCTCTTGGTAGATAGTGTGGTCTACAGTTTATCATGAGGTACTCTACCTCAGGCGAGCAAAACCTCGAGACTTCCTTAGATATCGTGCACCAGCTGTTGTTTACAAATATACATAGACCGCCACCCCTTGACTTACCAGAGGCTGCTGTTCTATCCTGCCGATACAGTGTATAACCCGCCAGCTGTATGTTATTCATGTCTTCGTTCAGCCACGACTCAGTGAAACATAAGATATTACCGTTTTTAATGTCCCGTTGGTAGGATATACGTGCTTGTAGTTCGTCCACTTTATTATCAAGCGATTGTAAGTTGGCCAATAGTATCGACGGCAAAGGCAGATTAGCCACTCATCACCGGCTCCTTACCAAGCACCCCGATCTCCTTCCGCGATATCTCCTTTTCTTTCTACTGCGAATGATGGGGATGAGGACCCTGTCGGGTGTCTGGAGCAAATCCCTCTCGTCCGACTCATTAAATAATAATTATTTGTCCAGTTCAAGGTGAGTAATCACTGTTCTCATGTCCAGAAGCTCTTTTTGGTCGTCATAAGAGACGATAGCAGCAACATTATGTACAAAATAAGTAACAAACAATGCGGAAAAAACACACAAAATAGCACAGTTGGTTAAGAGTCAATAATCAATGGACATCAGCGTAATGGAGTAATACATCTAATCAATAATCATTTTAGCAGCAGTGTAGGTTGTCTGAGTGGGTAGAGACCTGTGGATAGTCTGAGAGGGAGAGTAGTAGTTGTTAGCCATTTAACAGTCTTATGGCCAGAGGATAGAAGCTTTTTAGGAGTCTGTTTGTCTGAGCCTTGATGCACCGGTACCGCCTGCCGATACTAAGAACAGTCCATGTTCGGGCCATTCTCAGACACCGCCTGGCATGTACATCCTGGATGGCTGGGAGCTCACCCCCAGTGATGCGCTGGGCCATCCGCAACACCCTCTGTAGGGCTTTCCGGTTGAGAACAGTGCAGTTGCCATACCAAACGGTGATACAACCAGTCAGGATGCTGTCAATGGTGCAGCTGTAAAAGTTCCCGAGGATCTGAGGGGCCATGCCAAATGGTTTCAGCCTCCCGAGGGAGAAGAGGCGTTGCCGTGCCTTCTTCACAACTGTTCTGTTGTCAGAGGACCACGTTATGTCCTCAGTGATGTGGACACCGAGGAGCTTGAAGCTCTTGACCCTCTCCACTGCGGCCCTGTGGATGGAGGTGTGCACCCTCATCCCCATTCTGTGTTAAAGAGCCTCTTGATTTATTTTTAGCTTGAGGACAAACGAGCAGAGATGGAGAGACAACTGATCAGTATGAAAGTACAGCACCAATCCCTTCAGAAGCAGCATGCCTTCTCCAAACAACAGCTCCATCGTATGAAGGTACGATAAAATAAAATAAAGTCCTTGTATGTTTTTACTGAATCACCTAATTTCAATGTGAGACTTGGGATTCATTCATGTGCGTTTCCCTCTTGCTTGATCCTCCAGGTTCAGATAGCAACACTCATGCAACTGCAAGGCTCTAGGGCAGACCCTGCCCAGCTGGAGCGCCTGCAGTCCATGCTCTCAGAGAAGAACAGTGAGATACAAGCCCTCATGATCAAACTACAGCGCCTGGAGAAAGTGGAGGTAAAGTCCTCTTGTTTGTCGTCATTTCAACTAAAATCCAAAACACTACAACATGTTATAGGGCAACAGATTCACACAGTATGAACTGAATGTTGTGCAGTTGTCTCAATTGTTGGTTACTGTGTCTATGCAGATGACATTGAAGGCACAGCCCTCTGCAGCACCAGTGGAAACAGACGGTGGTGATGGGACCTACTACACTGACCTTCTGAAAATGCAACTTTCAAACTCTGCGTGAGTTATCGCTTGATTTAGGGCACAGTTAGTATTTACATCCTGGGTGGGTGATGACCTTCAGTTTGCCCATAAGCATTCCACATTTAAAGTTTGGCTTACAAATGTTGAGATTAACCAAATTGGATCTGTCGTACCTGCATCAGTGTTTTGATGTGTGTGTGTGTGTGTGTGTGTGTGTGTGTGTGTGTGTGTGTGTGTAGGAAGGATGCAGAGCGACTGGGGGATGAGTTGTCCATGCAAAGAATGAAGTCACTCTCTGAGAGCCAGAGAGCACTGGAGCTGGAGAGGAAGCTGTTCAGTGCAGAGAGGGCCCACAAACAGAGCCAGAGTGACAACATCAAGCTGCAAGTCAAAGTGGAAGAGCTCAGGTTGAAATATGAGCCCAATGGTAAATTAGCCTATATAGTGACATTCACTTGAACACAGTTGCAGTGATAATTTACATATTTAAAAAAAGGTGACATTAGGTAAGAGGGATTAAATCAATGTTATGTTGTGTCTTTAGAGGTGAATAAAAAGCTTATTCAGAAGCGCAAGCGCGAGAAGCTCCCTGTAGACATTCCTAGCGACATCCCAGAGGTGAAGAAAGAGGACCCCATGGTGCTGGAGCTCCCCAAGCACATGAAAGAGGAAATGGAAGCAGAGGAACACCCTTTTACAGAGGAGAGGCTCACCGTTACCCCTCTGCAGCCCCCCAACAACCCGAAGCCTAACTCTGCCTTGCCCCAAGACAGCAAGTGTGTGCGTATCTGCGAGGAGCCCCCAATCATTATCCCCAACCCCCCCAGGTCAGTTTCCCCATGGTCCTGCAGACTCCTGTCTCTCCTTTCCACTGTGTCAACTTCGGTTTCTTGGTCGTCTTCCTCTTCCTGGGCTTTATTCGGGCTCTCACCACTAGTCCACCATTGCTTACCATTCCCCTGCCTTTTAGGAGGGCTGTCACAGGGAAGTCTTAATTGATTTGCACTATTTTGCCTTTGACTTCCTATCTGTTTATAAGTATTATACTTTCTGGGACATTTTTCCTACGAAGCTGACTGCCTGGATCAAGGCTAGAATTGCTATTAGGTGAACACAGTTGTAACTTACTGTATATGCTGTACCATGAGTCAGTGTGTTACTTGATCTTCCTTTGCATGTATTTGATGCATGTAATTTAGGTACTAACAATGGTTTACAGTCTGCTGCCAGTAGGAACAGTTTCAACTACGTTAATCCTTGTCTCTGCACTTTTTGAACTTAATAAAACATGTAGAATTAAACAGTTTACCTTCAATCTAAACAGGTTGATTGAATGGTGTACCACGTAGGTCTAGCCCATTTCTTTGTAAATTAATCCTTTATATTTTACTAGAAATGATGACGACAGGGTTGTAAACCTCATCTGTATGGCTTTGGATTTGACAACACCTTTATACAAATGGAATGGTTTGTCTTTTAGGTCTCCCTCTGCTGACTGTAAAATAATGACTGAGGAGCTGGAGATTAAGAAGGAAGGTGAAGAAGAGAACAGAAGAGATGAAAAGAAAAGGCTAAAATCTCAAGAAGTCATACATGTTACCTCGCAGAAAACACTGGAAAACCAGTGTGCTCAGCAGTAGACTATGAAGTCTACACTTTATATTCCTTTAATAAAATACTAACATTAGAGTATATATTTTAAAATGTTGTCAATACATTAATAAAATGAAGGCAAAATATGGATTTCAGTCTCTGATAAATTATTTTATATTTTAATAGTGTTTAAATTACACATTTGGTCAGTAGATATGCCTTATAACTCCCTATCTAATATAAAAGCACATTCAATTGGCATTTGGGAGTCTTTTTGAATCGTATCAAATTAGTCTGCTGTTTTGTTGTTTAGAATATTAGCCCATGGGCCAGAGTGCCAAATTCCACATTGGTCCACTCTGGGGTGGCGAAGTCTAATGATTTTCTATAAGGTCCATGTCTGTGGGTTATATTTTGGTATGATAACCGCTTATCAGAGGTAGCTAAATGTGGTTATTAATGGTATGATGGTATGAAATGTTATAAGATGGCAATCTTCTCAAAACAAGTGGCGCAGTGGTCTAAGGCACTGCATCGCAGTGCTAGCTGTGCCACTAGAGATCCTGGTTCAAATCCAGGCTCTGTCGTAGCCGGCCGCGACCGGGAGACCTGCTGGGTGGTGCACAATTGGCCCAGGGTAGGGGAGGGAATGGCCGGCAGGGGTGTAGCTCAGTTGGTAGAGCATGGCGTTTGCAACGCCAGGGTTGTGGGTTTGATTCCCACGGAGGCCAGTATTAAAAAAAATAAAAATTATGCACTAACTGTAAGTCGCTCTGGATAAGAGCGTCTGCTAAATGATTAAAATGTAAATGTATTGATGTGTTATTAACTTCAATATACAACACACCAGAAGGTATGGAAAAATTTAAATGGTAATTACATCTTAATGGGCCCACTGGGGGAGTCCAAGGTCATATACAGGTATGCATTTTATGGGTATAGTCTGGTACAGTTGTCTGTTCATGCAATGATGTGAAACCATAGAGATGGAGGACTCTAGTGCCCAAAAGCCAGTTTTAGCATGGGCAGCGCCATTGAAGACTTTCACTATTTTGACATAGTCAAATGGGTGGGACTTCCTATCGGTTAAGGACAGATCACATAATTCTATCTAGGTCAGCAGGTGGGATCAGCCAATTAATTATATTTGAGGAAACATTCCCTAACTGCAGGTGGCAGTAAATCACAACTTTGCCTTTATACATGTTCAAACACACTCACTAGGTGGCAGTGTGCACCCTTTCAGTTTGTTTGCCAACGCATAGAAGTAGTAGAAGAAAATGGACTACTAAAAATTATAGCGTTAGAGGACTCTAGATAAGGGTGGGGTGAAGGGAAGTAGTTTTGGCATGGACATTGCCATCAAGGGCAACCACAATTTTAAAGTAGTCAACTGGGTGAGACTTCCTATGGGTTAGGGACAGATCACATGATTCCATCCGGGTCATCAGGAGGGATCAGCCAAATAATTATAGTCGTGAGCAAACCTTCCATACTGTAGGTGGCAGTAAATCGGCAGCCTTGGCTTTATACCTGTTCAAACTCACTCTAGGTGGCAGTATGCACCCTTTCAGTTTGTTTGCCAACTTACCATATGTGAATTGATTGCCCCCCATCTATCCTCAGAGTTCGTACTGCTTGGTGACCTAAATTGGGATATGCTTAATACCCCAGCCATCCTACAATCCAAGCTAGATGCCCTCAACCTCACGCAAATTATCAACGAACCTACCAGGTACAACCCTAAATCCGTAAACATGGGTACCCTCATAGATATCATCCTGACTAACTTACCCTCTAAATACACCTCCGCTGTCTTCAACCAGGATCTCAGCGATCACTGCCTTATTGCCTGCGTCCGTAACGGGTCCGCGGTCAAACGACCACCCCTCATCACTGTCAAACGCTCCCAAAAACACTTCAGCGAGCAGGCCTTCCTAATTGACCTGGCCCAGGTATCCTGGATGGATATAGAACCCATTCCGTCAGTAGAGGATGCCTGGTTGTTCTTTAAAAGTAATTTCCTCTCAATCTTAAATAGACATGCCCCATTCAAAAAATACAGAACTAAGAACAGATATAGCCCCTGGTTCTCCTCAGACTTGACTGCCCTTGACCAGCACAAAAACATCCTGTGGCGTACTGCATTAGCATCAAATAGCCCCCGTGATATGCAACTTTTCAGGGAAGTTAGGAACCAATATACACAAGCAGTTAGGAAAGCAAAGGCTAACTTTTTCAAACAGAAATTTGCATCCTGTAGCACTAACTCCAAAAAGTTTTGGGACACTGTAAAGTCCATGGAAAATAAGAGTACTTCCTCCCAGCTGCCCACTGCACTGAGGCTAGGAAACACTATCACCACCGATAAATCTACAATAATCGAGAATTTCAACAAGCATTTTGCTACGGCTGGCCATGCTTTCCACCTGGCTACCACTACCCCGGCCACCAGCTCTGCACCCTCCGCTGCAACTTGCCCATGCCCCCCCCGCTTCTCCTTCACACAAATCCAGACAGCTGATGTTCTAAAAGAGCTGCAAAATCTGGACCCCTACAAATCATCTGGACTAGACAATCTGGACCCTTTCTTTCTAAAACTAGCCGCCGAAATTGTCGCAACCCCTATTACTAGCCTGTTCAACCTCTCTTTCGTAACGTCTGAGATCCCCAGAGATTGGAAAGCTGCCGCGGTCATCCCCCTCTTCAAAGGGGGTGACACTCTAGACCCAAACTGTTACAGACCCATATCCATCCTGCCCTGCCTTTCAAAAGTTTTTGAAAGCCAAGTCAACAAACAGATCACCAACCATTTCGAATCCCACCGTACCTTCTCCGCTATGCAATCCGGTTTCCGAGCTGGTCATGGGTGCACTTCAGCCACGCTCAAGGTCCTAAATGATATTATAACCGCGATCGATAATAGACAGTACTGTGCAGCCGTTTTCATTGACCTGGCCAAGGCTTTCGACTCTGTCAACCACCGCATTCTTATTGGCAGACTAAATAGCCTTGGTTTCTCAAATGACTGCCTCGCCTGGTTCACCAACTACTTCTCAGATAGAGTTCAATGTGTCAAATCGGAGGGCCTGTTGTCTGGACCTATGGCAGTCTCTATGGGGGTGCCACAGGGTTCAATTCTTGGGCCAACTCTTTTCTCTGTGTATATCAATGACGTCGCTCTTGCTGCTGGTGACTCTCAGATCCACCTCTACGCAGACGACACCATTTTGTATACATCTGGCCCTTCATTGGACACTGTGTTAACAAACCTCCAAACGAGCTTCAATTCCATACAACACTCCTTCAGTAGCCTCCAACTGCTCTTAAACACTAGTAAAACAAAATGCATGCTCTTCAACCGAACGCTGCTTGCACCCGCCCACCCGACTAGAATCACTACTCTAGACGGGTCTGACCTAGAGTACGTGGACAACTACAAATATCTAGGTGTCTGGTTAGACTGTAAACTCTCCTTCCAGACTCACATTAAGAATCTCCAATCCAAAGTTAAATCTAGAATCGGTTTCCTATTTCGCAACAAAGCCTCCTTCACTCATGCTGCCAAACATGCCCTCGTAAAACTGACTATCCTACCGATCCTTGACTTCGGCGATGTCATTTACAAAATAGCCTCCAACACTCTACTCAGCAAATTGGATGTTGTCTATCACAGTGCCATCCGTTTTGTCTCCAAAGCCCCATATAATACCCACCACTGTGACCTGTACGCTCTTGTTGGCTGGTCCTCACTACATATTCGTCGCCAAACCCACTGGCTCCAGGCCATCTATAAATCACTGCTAGGCAAATCCCCGCCTTATCTTAGCTCATTGGTCACCATAGCAACACCCACCCGTAGTCTGCGCTCCAGCGGGTATATCTCACTGGTCATCCCCAAAGCCAACACCTCCTTTGGCCGCAATTCCTTCCAGTTCTCTGCTGCCAATGACTGGAACAAATTGCAAAAATCTCTGAAGCTGGAGACACTTATCTCCCTCACTAACTTTAAGCATCAGTTGTCAGAGCACCTTACCGATCACTGCACCTGTACACAGCCCATCTGAAATTAGCCCGCCCAACTACCTCATCCCTATATTGTTATTTATTTTGCTAATCTGTACCCCAGTATCTCTATTTGCACATCATCTCTTGCACATCATTCCAGTGTTAATACTAAACTGTAATTATTTTGCACTATAGCCTATTTTATTGCCTTACCTCCATAACTTGCTAAATTTGCACACTGTATATTAATTGTATTTCTGTTGTATTTTTTATTTATTTTTGTTTTGTTTTACCCCATATGTAACTCTGTGTTGTTGTTTTTATCGCACTGCTTTGCTTTATCTTGGCCAGGTCGCAGTTGTAAATGAGAACTTGTTCTCAACTGGTTTACCTGGTTAAATAAAGGTGGAAAAAAAAAAAGTAATAGAAGAAGAAAATGGACTACTTCGAAATGGAGATTGCCTCAATGGCGCTACCAATGATTGATAAATACACTAGATGACTGATGGGGTGCTGTTTGAAGCCGCCGCGGCTCCATCTTGGCACTTCCCCACCATTGTAAAAAATATTTTGGAAGCTATAGAAATGCATTTATAAATGTCTACATTTGTTTTTACCACGTTTATTCTATTAAGGACACCTTCATTCATTTTTTTAAAAATTATATTATGTGAGCTAAACATAAAAACATAAAAAAATATATAGAAACATTTTCCTTAAAGTAAAATTTTCTGAAAGTACTAATGTTAGTGTCTCCACTACAGCAAAAAACTTAAATACATGTAATTTTGTCCTTAAAAATGAAATACTGTAGAATTCCATTCATTCCTATAGAGGCCTGCTATTCTGAGCAGTGCCAATATGGCCGACAGTTGGCTTCAAAGCCTCTCATTGGCCAATACATAGCATCAGCAATCCAGGGTTTATATACATCATTGGGCGCTGCCCGTGCGCTCACATACGCCATAATGGGAGATATAGTGCATTCGGAAAGTATTCAGAGCCCTTGACTTTTTCCACATTTTGTTACGTTACAGCCTTATTCTATCAAGAATGGTCCACCACCCAAAGGAC